AGGAGTACATAGACAGTGAAGGACTGAAACCTGAACAAGTGTTTAATCGTGATGAAACAGGCCTGTTTTGGAAGAAAATGCCAAGCAGGACCTACATTACTGAGGAGGAAAAGGCACTCCCAGGACATAAGCCTATGAAAGACAGGCTTACTTTGATGATGTGTTCCAATGCTACTGGTGATTGCAAAGTGAAGCCTTTATTAGTGTATCACTCTGAAACTCCCAGACCGTTCAGGCAAAAGAATGTCCTCAAGGAGAATTTGTGTGTGCTGTGGAGGGCAAACAATAAGGCATGGGTCACTGGGGACTTTTTCTATGACTGGTTACACCATGCATTTGCCCCCAATGTGAAAGATTACCTAACTGAAAAGAAATTAGAACTTAAGTGCCTCCTGGTGTTAGACAATGCCCCTGGTCATCCTACAGACATGGCAGAGCGACTTTATGGGGACATGAAATTCATTAAGGTGAAGTTTTTGCCTCCTAATACCACTCCTCTCCTGCAGCCCATGGACCAGCAGGTTATTGCAAACTTCAAAAAACTGTACACAAAAGCTCTGTTTGAAAGGTGCTTTGTAGTGACCTCAGAAACTCAACTGACTAAGAGAGTTTTGGAGTGAGCACTTTAATATCCTCAATTGTATAAACCTTATAGGTAAGGCTTGGGAGGGAGTGACTATGAAGACCTTGAACTCTGCTTGGAAGAAACTGTGGCCAGAATGTGTAGACAAAAGGGATTTTGAAGGGTGTGAGGCTAACCCTGAGAGGATTATGCCAGTTGAGGAATCCATTGTGGCATTGGGAAAGTCCTTGGGGTTGGAGGTTAGTGGGGAGGATGTGGAAGAGTTGGTGGAGGAGGACAATGAAGAACTAACCACTGATGAGCTGATAGATCAACTTCAACAGCAAGAGGCCAGACCTGACGAAACTGGTTCAGAGGAGGGGAGAGAGAAATTGAAGAAGTTGCCTACTACAAAAATTAAGGAAATCTGTGCAAAGTGGCTTGAAGTGCAAACCTTCATGGATGAAAATCACCCTCACACAGCTATTGCAAGCCGTGTTGGCAACCTGTACACTGACAATCTTGTGAAACACTTTAGGGAAGTCATAAAGGAACGAGAGGTACAGGCCACTATGGACAGATATGTTGTGCGACAGAAGTCCAGTGACTCTGAAGCTGGTCCTAGTGGCATTAAAAGAAGAAGGGAAGTAACCCCAGAAAAGGACTCGACACCTCAAGTCTTAATGGAAGGGGATTCCCCTTCTAAACACTAACACTCTCTCTCCCCTCCTCCCATCCCATCAATCATCACCAGATCTTCAATAAAAGTAAGTGTCATGTAATTGTGCATGCCTTTTTCAGTTTGTGTGTATTAAAATTAACATTTCATGTGGTAATTTTTTTTTTTTCATACTTTTGGGTGTCTTGCACGGATTAATTTGATTTCCATTATTTCTTATGGGGGAAAATTCATTCGCATACCGATCATTTCGCATAACAAAGATCCCTCTTGCACGGATTAAAGTCGCTATGCAGGGGTCCACTGTATTTGATAGAATGGGAGATATATTACAGAAATAAAGATGATTTACAGACTAAAAGTAGCTTGAAAGTGAGCTCAAAGTAGTGGAAATGTTCAATTTTTGATGATGTTCAAGATTAAACAAATTACAACACACGTCTAATATACGTCAACTGGTGGGTCTATTATTATCTTCTAGATTTATACAGAATATTCTTCCATGGTTAATATTTTCTCACCTATAATTCTGAAGTGTATAGAAACTGTGCAGAATTGAGAGGTGGCAACACATGCACCCACAAATGCCAAATTATTGTTTACAACATAGAAAGAAGTCAATTTTGCTTATCACAACCAGCATGTACTCAAATACAAAATGCACTATAGCATCATTTTGCTGATAATTTAGGTTAAATTAAACTAGCTTTTTAATATATGCTCTTACTATCAGTATCTTATACATTTAAGTAACATTATCTATTTTAATATTTGCTCTTGCTAAAAGTATCTTATACATTTAAATAACATATGCTGAGCAGTGAGATACAGACTCACTCTCCATGGCTGATTACATACTTGGTTTCCACCTAAAACGAAGATTTACTATTAAATTAGGATCACTGGCAAGTAAATTACTTACATCACATCCTTTATCAACCAAAGCAAGGTGCTAAAGTATTTAAAATTGGCCACAATACATATTAGTTCAATCTGTCTTAAGAACAAGTCAAGACATACCATCACCACAGAAATTATGGATTTTCAATGAAATATACCACCAGGTTTATCACAATGTAAGTAATAACAAACCTTAAAAATATGAGTAATCCATTATGAGCAGAGCTCTCTAGTAATTCAATATTTACTTTTCGAATAATTGAGTACCTAGTCTTCAGGAAGAGCTATTACCACAGTCCGTGTAAAACAAAAACTGATTCACTTCTTAGGTAGACGGATATTATCACATTAATAGCTGAATGAAACTTAATATAATGAAGTCTATACACTTTTATTCAGTGAATGAAAGAAGTATTGCTTATTACCTTGTTTCACTTATTCTGACAATCAGGACACGAAGATACAATTTACAACCTACGTGACATCTACGACATCAAGAAACTGTCTAGTCTTATCTACCATAAACTATGGAAGACAGAGTTTCTCATTAACCAGGCATCACTATCACATGCAGTTGGTAGAGCTGAAGTCAGCTCCCTAAAAGGAGAATTAATATAAGCATGACAAATATACCTTAAGACAAACTCATTTACCTGAAGACTGCAACACAAATATACCTTAAGACAAACTCAAATGTACCTGAAGAACACATAACCAATGTTAAAATACAACAAAATTTGGTATGTTTTCTTGAATGGAACCTAAGTAATTGGTGCTCATAATTTAAGTTCTTACTTCGCATTAAGAAATTATAATCAAGGTAAACCCTCAACCAAGGGTATAGCATTAAGAAAATAAACCTTTTTATATGTATGTATGTATGTATGTACAGTATGCATGTATGCTATGTATATATGCATGTATGTCAAGTATATACCTGCCTATTTGTGGTTGTAGAAGTCAAGTCCTAGCTCCTGGCCCACCTTTCAACTTGCCAGACTCACTTCCTCCTAGATTCATGTGGCCCATCATACCTGCTCTTAAAACTACATATTGAGCCTGACTGCACCATTTTCCTCATCCAGATCATTCCACTTCCCAACCATCCCGAGACTGAAGATATACTTCTGGACATCCATATGGCTCCTCTGTGTAACTTCCAGCTGTGTCCCAAGTTCCCATTGTTCTCCTTTCCAACATCATGTCTCTGTCTACCCTAGCAATTTCACCGAGTATTTTGCATGTTGTATCTTCCCTGTTTTTTTCTGTCCTCAAATATCACCAGGTTCAATTCCATTAGCCTTGCCTCACAGCTCATGCCTAACTTTGGAACAAGCCTCGCTGCACACTTCTGCACTTTCTCCAGTATAACGTGCTTCCTCTCAGGTGGGTTCTATAATGGTGCTGCATACTCCAAGCTGGGCCTTACCTGTTTTGTATAAGGAGCCCTGAATGACTGTGAATGAATGAATGAATGAATGAATGCATGCATTATGCATTCATGTATATACACATACATGCATTCATATATATGTCATACCTAAATTTCACCATCTTGTGAATAATGGTAATATTAAAGATGTTCTTAAATTAGTTATATTTCAGTAATAAGTGTCAATGTACTTTTGATGATATATATCATCTCTAAGCCCTTTAAATGCATTTTAAGAATTAAAGTGAAATCTTTCATTTTTAACTTTATTGCAGTAACAAATTTGACCTATATAAAGTCTTTCAAGCAACTTTTAATCCCAAATTCATATCCATAAATGATTGTATAACGAATAAATTATCCATACAAGTTTAAAAAAATGTCATGAACAATACATAAACAGTATTACTTTAAAATCATTATAAAGCCACCAGTAAAGCAAATATTTTATATACATTATTATTAATATACTACGTATACAGTACTACAAAAAATATTTAGTATCCTATTTATGTGATAGAACATTCTTAAGAAAATCTTTTTACATGGACCTCACTGATAATGAATTTCATTGTTCTTAATGGAGCTACACACTAAAGGCAGCTGCTATTCAGTACCTCAACTGCCAATGATATGTCTAGTTTTCCACAGAACTTTCTTAAAAGAAAAAAAATATATATATATATAAAATCAGTAGCAGATGATAGCAAATTCCCAAGACCACATTGCATGATGTAAATATATTATACAGAATATTTAACACTTGCAGCACTGGGAAAATGCAATTAATGTCTAATACTGGAATATGATTAATAGAAACAAATCACGAAATACGAGTAATGCTAACCCTAGTAGGAACCCATGGGTGCACATCATGAAACTATTATAATAAGCTTCACACTTCAAATGTATGTTGCTGTACGTTTGCTCAATATAAATATATTCTCATTAGAATTTTTATACTTTACTATCTGTCCTCACCGTGAAGAGCATACTGGGGTATAAAGAACGAAGGTTTTTCTGGATGTATACCTCTCTAGGGTTAAGTACACTACCATACACTATCAAGATTCATTGCTATTTCTATACTATCAATATCATATGAACTAATGTATTGAAATTTCTATGCATGGCGCAATATTGTAATAACTTTTTGAATGTCAAAGCAGCAAGTAAATTTCCTTAATTTCTAGCTGCCAGTGTTTGCAATCTTAGGAATGTTAACCAATTTTACCTCACTATGTTCACATATCTTGAATAATTAGTCATTAATAACATTATACATCTTTCATTAATAACTTTACATGTTCATACATCTTGAATATTTTGTTATCAATAACTCAGACAACAATTTTACAATTCATCAACAAAATACACAGGTGCGAAATATTATACAATTTGTGCATTATATTGTATTAAAAACAAAAAATACATCATAATAGAATTATACAAAGTTCCATTTAACTTGACTATTCACAAACAAAGCTTCCTCTCCTTTTCATGCTGTCTAATGAATAGCAATTATAATCCAACAAATATATACTGTAAATTATTATTAGCAAGATAAAATACGCTTGATGGCAAGATACTTGCATTTTTTAAATACTTTAATACGTGCAATTATATTTACAACATTTAAAAAAATTAATGCTTAATAGTTCATGACAATTAACTTGAAAAAAATTTAGTATATTACTTTCTTTGCTCGTTACAAGGGTATCGACAAATATTTTGATTTGTTTAAGTAAATTTGTATATCACACAACCTGTTACTCACAACACATCATTTCACCATTAATTTTTATAAACTATGTACAGCAATAATAAAAGGAAAATACTGATCTTCCCTTTCCAGGGTTGGCATGTTCAGTTACAAGTACGTACACATACTGCATCACCAAACCCAAGGGTTCAGTTATGAGCATCACACCACTAACCTGAGGTGATATTACTTTGCCTCTCATATATCAATTATACTCTATTTTCGATTTATTAAATTTCATGTGCCATATATACAAGTTATTAAAAATATCCCTCAATAACTGCTCAGCAGCTAATAATGGATCAGTATATTATACACACTATCCTTAACAGTTTCAAGGAATAGTAACTTGTGCCAAATTCAAAAGAACAGTTGGACCCCCTTTCTGTCACAGTAAATTTCACTCGCTCAAGAAAGAGCCAGTTCCATCAGTGTACCAAAAACTTAACCCTTCTGTGTGATCTGAACAACTCCACCACTTAGTGGAAGTGAAGAAGTTTCCATGAGGTAAGCATCAATTTCTCGGGCAGCCTGACGACCTTCATTGATGGCCCACACAACAAGTGACTGACCACGTCGACAGTCTGTAAAAATAAATATAATCGTTTAATAATCTATCAATATTCTCACCAAATACCAGGGTGGAAAATAATCAGTACTATAAAAAAGAATGGATCAAAGTAGAATGATATGGAAAGCGTATAAATCTAGGGGAAGGAAGGCAGGGTAGGGGGTCGTCCTTGAAAAGGTTGGAGGGAGGGGGTAAAGGTGGTTTTGTGGGCCAGGGGCTTGGACTTCCAGCAAGCGTGCATGAGCGTGTTAGATAGGAGTGAATGGAGACGAATGGTATTTGGGGCCTGATGAGCTGTTGGAGTGTGAGCAGGGTAATATTTAGTGAAGGGATTCAGGGAACCCGGTTTTTTTATATAGCCGGACTCGAGTCTTGGAAATGGGAAGTACAGTGCCTGCACTTTAAAGGAGGGGTTTGGGATATTGGCAGTTTGGAGGGACATTTTGTGCATCTTTATACGTGTATACTTCTAAACTGTTGTATCCTGGGCACCTCTGCAAAAACAGATTATGTATGAGTGAGGTGAAAGTGTTGAATGATGATTAAAGTATTTTCTTTTTGGGGATTTTCTTTTTTGGGTCACCCTGCCTTGGTGGGAGACATCCGACTTGTAGTAAAAAAAAAATAAAAGAGGCTGAGGAATTTGATTTTTGCAATGAAATTTTTCTGAGAAAAATAATTATGATATTAATGGTAGTAGGTTGGTAGACAGCAACCACCCAGGGAAGTACTACCGTCCTGCCAGATGACTGTGAAACAGAAACCTATAACTGTTTCGCATGATGGTAGGATTGCTGGTGTCTTTTTCTGTCTCGAAACACGCTAGATAACAGGGATATCTTGCTACTCCAACTTACACTTTGGTCACACTTCACGGACACGCACATGCATATATATATATACATACATCTAGGTTTTTCTCCTTTTTCTACATATCTCTTGTTCTTCTTTATTTCTTCTATTGTCCATGGGGAAGTGGAAAAGAATTTTTCTCCGTAAGCCATGCGTGTCGTATGAGGCGACTAAATGCCGGGAGCAATGGGCTAGTAACCCCTTCTCCTGTGGGACATTTACTAAAAAAGAGAGAAGAAAAACTTTATAAAACTGGGATGCTTTAATGGGGCGTGGATGTAGTGCAGATGACAAGAAAAAGTAATTGCTGATGTTTTTGAATGAAAAAAAGTTGGATGTCCTGGCCCTAAGCAAAACAAAGCTGAAGGGGGTAAGGGGGTTTCGGGGGGGGGGAAATAAATGGGATTAAAAACTGGGGGTATCTGAGAGAGTTAGAGCAAAAGGGAAAGGGGTAGCAATAATGTTGAAAGATCAGTTATGGAAGGAGAAAAGAGAATTTGAATGGTAAATCAAGAATTATGTGGATAAAGTAAGGTTGGATGCGAGAAGTGGGTCATAATAAGCGTGTATGCACCCTGGAGAAGAAAGGATGCAAGGGAGAGAGAGAGATTTGGGAGATGTTAAGTGAATTTTATAGGAGCCTTTGAACCAAGTGGAGAGTATTGTGGTAGGGGACCGATGCAAAGTAGGAGAAACTTTTAGAGGGGTGGGTAGGTAAGTTTGGGTGCCAGTGTAAATGATAATGGGAGCCCTTTGATTGAACTTTGGGATAGAAAGGGTTTAGTTATAGGTAATACTATTTAAGAAAAAGAGGATAAATAAGTATACAAGATATGATGTAGGGCGAATGACAGTATTTGTTGGATTATGTATTGGTAGAAAAAAAGACTGTTGAGTAGACTTCAGGATGTACATGTTTTATAGAGGGCCACAAAATATATCAGATCATTTTCTAGTTGTAGCTACACTGAGAGTAAAAGGTAGATGGAATCAAGGAGAATAGAAGCATCAGGAAGAGAGAGGTGAAGGGGTTTTTAAACTAAAAGAGGAGGCAGTTAGGGGAAAAATATAAACAGTATTGGGGGATAGATGGGCTAATGAGAGCAAGGCAATGGGGTTGAAGAGGTATGGGGTAGGTTTAAAAATGTAGTGTTTGGAGTGTTCAGCAGAAGTTTGTGGTTACAGGAAATGGGTGCGGGAGGGGAAGAGGAGCGATTGGTGGAATGATGATGTAAAGAGAGTAGTAAGGGAGAAAAAGTTAGCATATGAGAAGTTTTTACAAAGTAGAAGTGATGCAAGGAGGGAAGAGTATAAGGAGAAAAGAGAGAGGGGTTAAGAGAGTGGTGAAGCAATGTAAAAGAGAGCAAATGAGAGAGTGGGTGAGATGTTATCAACAAATTTTGTTGAAAATAAAAAAAGTTTTGGAGTGAGATTAACAAGTTAAGGAAGCCTAGAGAACAAATGGATTTGTCAGTTAAAAATAGGAGAGGAGAGTTATTAAATGGAGAGTTAGAGGTATTGGGAAGATGGAGGGAATATTTTGAGGAATTGTTAAATGTTGATGAAGATAGGGAAGCTGTGATTTCGTGTATAGGGCAAGGAGGAATAACATCTTGTAGGAGTGAGGAAGAGCCAGTTGTGAGTGTGGGGGAAGTTCGTGAGGCAGTAGGTAAAATGAAAGGGGGTAAGGCAGCCGGGATTGATGGGATAAAGATAGAAATGTTAAAAGCAGGTGGGGATATAGTTTTGGAGTGGTTGGTGCAATTATTTAATAAATGTATGGGAAAAGGGTAAGGTACCTAGGGATTGGCAGAGAGCATGCATGGTTCCTTTGTATAAAGGCAAAGGGGGCAAAAGAGAGTGCAAAAATTATAGGGGGATAAGTCTGTTGAGTATACTGGTAAAGTGTATGGTAGAGTTATTATTGAAAGAATTAAAAGTAAGACGGAGAATAGGATAGCAGATGAACAAGGAGGCTTTAGGAAAGGTAGGGGGTGTGTGGACCAGGTGTTTTAGTGAAACATGTAAGTGAACAGTATTTAGATAAGGCTAAAGAGGTCTTTGTGGCATTTATGGATTTGGAAAAGGTGTATGACAGGGTAGATAGGGGGGCAATGTGGGCAGATGTTGCAGGTGTATGGTGTAGGAGGTAGGTTACTGAAAGCAGTGAAGAGTTTTTTACGAGGATAGTGGAGGCACAAGTTAGAGTACATAGGAAAGAGGGAAATTATTTCCCAGTAAAAGTAGGCCTTAGACAAGGATGTGTGATGTCACCGTGGTTGTTTAATATATTTATAGATGGGGTTGTAAGAGAAGAAATGCGAGGGTCTTGACAAGAGGCGTGGAGTTAAAAGATAAAGAATCACACAAAGTGGGAGTTGTCACAGTTGCTCTTTGCTGATGACACTGTGCTCTTGGGAGATTCTGAAGAGAAGTTGCAGAGATTGGTGGATGAATTTGGTAGGGTGTGCAAAAGAAGAAAATTAAAAGTGAATACAGGAAAGAGTAAGGTTATGAGGATAACAAAAATATTAGGTGATGAAAGATTGGATATCAGATTGGATGGAGAGAGTATGGAGGAGGTGAATGTATTCAGATATTTGGGAGTGGACGTGTCAGCGGATGGGTCTATGAAAGATGAGGTGAATCATAGAATTGATGAGGAGAAAAGGGTGAGTGGTGCACTTGGGAGTCTGTGGAGACAAAGAACTTTGTCCTTGGAGGCAAAGAGGGGAATACGTATATGAGAGTATAGTTTTACCAACGCTCTTATATGGGTGTGAAGCGTGGGTGATGAATGTTGCAGCAAGGAGAAGGCTGGAGGCAGTGGAGGTGTCATGTCTGAGGGCAATGTGTGGTGTGAATATAATGCAGAGAATTCGTAGTTTGGAAGTTAGGAGGAGGTGCGGGATTACCAAAACTGTTGTCCAGAGGGCTGAGGTGGTTTGGACATGTAGAGAGAATGGAGCGAAACAGAATGACTACAAGAGTGTATCAGTCTGTAGTGGAAGGAAGGCGGGGCAGGGGTCGGCCTAGGAAAGGTTGGAGGTAGGGGGTAAAGGAGGTTTTGTGTGCGAGGGGCTTGGACTTCCAGCAGGCGTGCGTGAGCCTGTTTGATAGGAGTGAATGGAGACGAATGGTTTTTAATACTTGACGTGCTGTTGGAGTGTGAGCAAAGTAACATTCATGAAGGGGTTCAGGGAAACTGGCAGGCCGGACTTGAGTCCTGGAGATGGGAAGTACAGTGCCTGCACTCTGAAGGAGGGGTGTTAATGTTGCAGTTTAAAAACTGTAGTGTAAAGCACCCTTCTGGCAAGACAGTGATGGAGTGAATGATGGTGAAAGTTTTTCTTTTTCGGGCCACCCTGCCTTGGTGGGAATCAGCCAGTGTGATAATATAAATATATATAATTCTGTGTTGTATTATTACTACAATCAAAATGAAGTACTAAACTCACAAGGGTCATACAGTGCTGCAGGGTCAGATGTGCTAAAGATGAAATATGTGAAGATCGGAGAGCAGCAAGGATTATATGTATGCAAGAGGCAGGGTTAGTAAGGGTAGAGGGGAGAACATATAATCAAATTTGTGTAATAAAGCAGTTGCTGACAAAAAGTCAAAGAGGGAGTCTGCATCAAAGGTGGGGCTGTCAGTGAGGAAGTCAGATAAAGTAAGTGAATTAGGGAGATCACAATGCCAGAGGTAAATTCTGCATGCCTGCTGACAGATATGACAATCTATTAAGAGATGGTGAACTGACAACAATTCTCACACAGCAGTGCCGAGTGTTTCTCCAAGAGATACCAATGAATAAGCTTAGTGTATTGAACACATAGCTGGGATAGTGTAGTTTCCTAAACACTACAGCGATGAGGTGACCACAAACCCAAACAAAGTTTGACAATGTAATTTATGTTGCCAACAGTTGCCAAGTTGTTTAGAGATAACTGCAAAATGATCAGAATATAAAATGAGGTCATGAATAGTCTAGAAATTTAACAGTAGTATAAACTGAGATTGGGGAGCCATACAAACAGTAGGGTACATGATGACTGGGTGCCTCATACACATTTGGCAATATAAAGCCTGACACCATGAGAAGTGATCTAGTTGATTGCACAGTCTATAATGTGCTGAAGAATGGGCATAAAATGTTCCACAGGGATCACAATCATCTACAAATGAGGACAACCAGACACCTGTGTGAAGGACTGAGAGGAGTTTATTATTATTTTTTTTTTTTTATCACGATGGCCGATTCCCACCAAGGCAGGGTGGCCCAAAAAAGAAAAACTTTCACCATCATTCACTCCATCACTGTCTTGCCAGAAGGGTGCTTTACACTACAGTTTTTAAACTGCAACATTAACACCCGTCCTTCAGAGTGCGGGCACTGTACTTCCCATCTCCAGGACTCAAGTCTGGCCTGCCGGTTTCCCTGAATCCCTTCATAAATGTTACTTTGCTCACACTCCAACAGCACGTCAAGTATTGGAAACGATTTCTGGTCTGCTAAAAACGACAATTAACGTGGAATACAAAGGCCAGTATGAGATACAAAAATTTAGTGAGAAGATTGGATATCAGATTGGGGGTATGGAGGCCCTCCAATTCGTAGGATCCCTACCCCCATACTTCTAGGACTGGATAACGTGTCAGCGTCTGGGTTCATTAAATTGACGCTTACATTCCAACACCTCAAATTCACCTGGGGACAAGGTTTTGAGTATCCCGCGCTCCACTTCAAACGGAGTTCTGGATTATATTACAACTTGCCTTGAGCAATGACATGTACGTCTAGCTTCCTCCAACTCTTATATGGGTGTGAAGCATCGGTGATCGAATTTCACACCCAAAGGCTAGGAAGCATAGTGTTTCTATTCCCCTTGCTGCAAGGAAATGTATTATGTTCCACAGATCAAAGTTGGAAGTTTAGAGCGTCAATTACAAAACTTCTTTTCGAGGGTAAGCCAAGGGTTTGAGGTCGTTCGACTCCAAATTTGAATAGAGCAACAAATGACTTCATAGTGTATCCATCTGTAGTGAAGGAAGGCTTGATCAGGGTCATTTAGGAATAGTTGGAGAGGGTTACAGGGTTTTCCTGTTCACTTTGGATTTTCCTTTTGGCCACCTGTACCATTTCCTAGGATGACTGGAATCGTTTTTAATATCTGCTGTGGCACAGTGTAGCAAAGTAACATTTATGCAAGGGGTCCAGGGTGATCTTTATCTTAACTCCAGCTTTGCCAGAGGGAAGACAGTCCTGCACTGAAGGAGGGTTTATTCTGCAGTTACAACCCCTGTAGTAAAGAATACTAACCAAACGTGATGATCCTGTTGAAGTATTTTACGAAATAATTCCCACTTTATGTTGATTCTTTATCTTGACTCACCCTCTTGCCAAGACCTCGACTGCTTTCATACAACCCCTCTAAACATTTAACAACCATCGGGTTTATTACACATTCTAGGCCTAACTTTTACTGGGAAATAATTTCCCTCTTTCCTACATACTCTAACTTGAGCCCCACTATCCTCGTAAAAACTCTTCACTGCTTTCAGTAGCCTACCTCCTACACCATACACCTGCAACATCAGGAGTTTATTACTATCAGGAATATAGTATACCAAGAACACACCCATGTGGTATGCTTCAGTCTTTACAAAATCTGGAGAAAGGTGATCATTTACTTCACCTCTGAAGTGTCTTTTTTGACAGTAGTAAAGCAAAAAAAAGGAAGTCTGCCTTGAATGCCTCGGGCATGCACCTGCGAGGAAATATTGCAATGCTAGGTTCTATTTTTTTCCAGGTTAGAAAAGATGGTAACTGAAAGGTCTCTGCAAAAGCATTGTGAAGGAATGTATTGAGTTGGAGTAGTGGGGGGTCAACAGTTGAGCACCCTTTTCAGAAAATGGATTAATGGGAAGGTGTATTTCAGTTTTTTAAATGCTGAAAAATAAGATGCTTATTGACAAGTGTTCTAGCAACTTTCAAAAAGTGCTGGTATGAGCTACAGGTCTATAATAGAAAGAATCATTTCAATGGTACCTGATCTGTTAAACTAGAACTATTTCAATTTTGGCTCAAAGGAAAAAGTGCCTTAAACCCTACCTGTAGTCACCGTGGGGCCAGTGCTAACCTCTCTATGGTGTATATATATACCTAGTTGGATAAATCATATTGTAGTCACCTAGCCAAGTGGCTTATGCACTGTCCTGGAGTTTTAGGACTCACTCACCACGAGTTCAATCCCTGCCCATGGTATGGCTTGGTCAAACAGTTGTAGGACACAGGCAAGTGTTGTGGTATGTGTTTAAGTACACTAATATGTGTCATCAGGTCTGGCTGCTGTAGATTATCAGTCAGTGTTGATGCCAGTTCTCGAAAAGTGAACAGAATGTCAAGCCCTGTAGGTGTGAAGGGGAGTGCTTGCACTCTAAAGGAAGGGTAGGGATGTTGCAATCAGAGGAAAATCTGAATTGTGATGCTATCACACTTTTGGCAAGACAGCAATTGAATGAATGATGGTGAATGTTTTCTTTGGGTCACCCTGCCTTGGCAAGAGATAGCTGTTGAGCTAATAAAAGTAAACAGTATATTCAAGGATATTTACTTTACCTTATAATGCAGCACAGTAACCAGTTTTTTTCTGCATTCATACTTCAGTATCAGAAGTTATTAACACACACTGCAAATTTTTTTTGTCACAAGTGCAGCAAAATATGATGAATAAAATGGTATTTTCAATTTAACAGGAGACAACCCATTTAACTAGGTAACCAATGATCCTTAACCTAACCTTGTCAAACCCTGTGTAAAAAAAAAAAAAAGTTGGAGGGCTTCCATGTCTAACTACTAATGTATTCAATGGCCTATGATTTTTATATAAATGTACAGATTAATACTCAGTCTTTATTGGAAATAGAATCGTAACCATAAGCCAGCAGAAGACCTGTCAGATGACCACAAGCTCCAGCTGCAGGTCATCGTATGACTAAGACCTGCATTGGGAAACATGTGTCCTGTTTCCTGACATTATACCATCATTCTTTATTAATTACATACCTCCTGCAGCAAAGACTTTGTCAACACTCGTAGAATATTTGTTTTCTGGTGTAGAAATGTTGGAGCGAGGATCTTGTTCCATCTCTAGCTCATTAATAATGTAACGTTCAGGTCCCAAGAAACCCATTGCCAATAGTACCAGGTCAGCCTTGTAAATCTGTAAATCATTGAAACAAAATAATGACAATATTAAGGTAAAAAAATTTCTTGTAATTCTTTACACTTCATGAAAAAGCTAGTAGTAAAATAATAGGCATTAATCATCTGGATCCTAACCCCTTCCCTCCCTTCCTCTGAATTCTTATATGATCCTTGGTTGAGAATTATTAACACAGGGTTGAGGGTTAGATATCCATATATACGTATCTATATAGTACTGTACATCACCACTAATCTGAAAATACCTAGGAAAAAACAGGTTTACCCCCAAGTGTCAAATTATCATTTTACCTTCTCAGATCCCTCAACTTCATCCATCTTCCATCTGCCATTCGCATCCTTTGTCCATTCTACCTTCACAGTACGCACACCTGCAACTTTCCCGGTCCCATCATCAAGGAACTCCTGTAAAGAAAAGATGACAAGAGCTGAACATACTCTGCATAATGATGTAACTACACTATTATAATGTACCTCTCAAAAATTATGATATAACATTCACATTTGTTCTACAGTACACACATGCATAATTAGAATGGCTAAATTTCCTTATAGTAACTGACATTTACAAAGCACTGATCCAGTATATCACTATGCACTCGGCCATAAAAAATATATACAGCCTTTCCTCACTTAACGACGGAGTTCTGCTTCTAAGATCATGTCGGTAAACGAATTCGTTGCTAAGTAAGGAGCATATTATAATGGTAGTGGGTTTGTGTCAACCATCTGTCTTTGTTTTAATGTCACCTTTGCACTACTTATAACATTTCTAGTATATACATATTTTTAAATGTTTATACAGTAGTGTGCTGTATATTGTAATAAGCAGAATAGAGGAAATCAGCTCTAATATACATTATTTAGGTACGCATACTGGTCAAGAATTTTTTTTTAACAAGTCGGCTGTCTTCCACCAAGGCAGGGTGACCCAAAAAGAAAATCCCCAAAAACAAAATACTTTCATCATTCAACACTTTCACCTCACTCACACATAATCACTGTTTTTGCAGAGGTACTCAGAATACAACAGTTTAGAAGTATATACATATAAAGATACACAACATATCCCTCCAAACTGCCAATATCCCAAACCCCTCCTTTAAAGTGCGGGCATTGTACTTCCCATTTCCAGGACTCAAGTCTGGCGATATAAAACTAACCGGTTTCCCTGAATCTCTTCAGTAAATATTACCCTACTAACACTCCAGCAGCTCGTCAGGTCCCAAATACCATTCGCCTCCATTCACTCCGCCCAGGGAGGTACTACTGAGTAAAATGAGTAAAATGAAAACCTATAATTGTTTTACATGATGGTAGGATTGCTGGTGTCCTTTTTTCTGTCTCATAAACATGCAAGATTTCAGGTACGTCTTGCTACTTCTACTTACACTTACTGTCAGTCCCTATTGCTCACATAATAAATCTATCCATCACCACTAATACCGCACTGGATGGGTTCAAGGAGGCCAGAGTTACTCCTATCTTCAAGAAAAATAGCAGGTCTGATGTAAGCAACTACAGGTCTGTTAGTATACTCAGTATAATATCCAAAATTCTAGAGAGGGCGGTGTACTCTCAAGTAGTTAAGTACCTTAATGACAACAACATTCTCTATAACTATCAATCGGGCTTTAGAAGATCTAGGTCACACTACACATACATATACAAACATATTTATACACACCCCTCTGGGTTTTCTGCTATTTTCTTTCTAGTCCTTGTTCTTGTTAATTTCCTCTCATCTCCATGGGGAAGTGGAACAGAATTCTTTCTCCAAAAGCCATGCGTGTTGTAAGAGACGACTAATAGGTGGCCCGGTGGCCTGGTGGCTAAAGCTCCCGCTTCACACACGGAGGGCCCGGGTTCGATTCCCGGCGGTTGGAAATATTTCGACACGTTTCCTTACACCTGTTGTCCTGTTCACCTAGCAGCAAATAGGTACCTGGGTGTTAGTCGACTGGTGTGGGTCGCATCCTGGGGGACAAGATTAAGGACCCCAATGGAAATAAGTTAGTCCTCGATGACGCACTGACTTTCTTGGGTTATCCTGGGTGGCTAACCCTCCGGGGTTAAAAATCCGAACGAAATCTTATCTTATCTTAAAATGCCGGGGGCAAGGGGCTAGTAACCCCTTCTCTTGTATAAATTGTCTCGGTAGGATACGGCCGGTTTGTTGAAAGAAGATCCACACACACAACAACACACGCAACAACATACAATCACACACACAATAACACACACAATAACACACACACAATAACACACACACAATAACACACACACAATAACACACACACAATAACACACACAATAACACATGCACAATAACACACACACAATACACACACAACAACACACACGCACACAATAACACACACAATAACACACACACACACACTAACACACACACACACACTAACACACACACACTAACACACACACACATAACACACACACACATTAACACACACACACACATTAACACACACACACATTAACACACACACACACATTAACACACACACACACATTAACACACACACACACATTAACACACACACACACATTAACACACACACACACATTAACACACACACACACATTAACACACACACACACATTAACACACACACACACATTAACACACACACATTAACACACACACACATTAACACACACACACATTAACACACACACACATTAACACACACACACATTAACACACACACACATTAACACACACACACATTAACACACACACACATTAACACACACACACATTAACACACACACACATTAACACACACACACATTAACACACACACACATTAACACACACACACATTAACACACACACAAAATTAACACACACACACACATTAACACACACACACACATTAACACACACACATTAACACACACATACGACATACAAGATACTGCAGGGAATAGACAAGGTGGACAGAGATAGGATGTTCCAGAGAGGGGACACAGGGACAAGGGGTCACAACTGGAAGCTGAAGACTCAGACGAGTCACAGGGACGTTAGGAAGTATTTCTTCAGTCAGAGTTGTCAGCAAGTGGAATAGCCTAGCAAGTGAAGTAGTGGAGGCAGGAACCATACATAGTTTTAAGAAGAGGTATGACAAAGCTCAGGAAGCAGAGAGAGAGAGGATCCAGTAGTGATCAGTGAAGAGGTGGGGCCAGGAGCCGAGTCTCGACCCCTGCAACCACAATTAGGCGAGTGTACACACACACATTAACACACACACACACATTAACACACCACACACACACACACACACAATAACACACAAATCGGATGAGGATCAGGCAGGACTACAAAGAGACCTGGACACGCTACAAGCCTGGTCCAGCAACTGGCTCCTTGAATTTAACCCTGCCAAATGCAAAGTCATGAAGATTTGGGAAGGGCAAAGAAGACCGCAGACACAATATAGTTTAGATGGCCAAAGACTGCAAACCTCACTCAAGGAAAAAGATCTGGGGGCGAGTATAACACCAAGAATATCTCCTGAGGCGCACATCAATCAGATAACTGCTGCAGCATACGGGCGCCTGGCAAACCTACTGATAGCGTTCCGATACCTCAGTAAGGATTCTTTTAAGACTCTATACCATTTACGTCAGGCCCATACTGGAGTATGCAGCTCCAGTTTGGTATCCACACCTAGTCAAGCACGTCAAGAAATTAGAGAAAATGCAAAGGTTTGCAACAAGACTAGTCCTATGAAGAAAGGTTGAGGGAAATCGGCCTGACGACACTGGAGGACAGGAGGGTCAGGGGAGACATGATACCGACATATAAAATACTGCACGGAATAGACAAGGTGGACAAAGACGGGATGTTCCAGAGAAGGGACACAGACACAAGAGGTCACAATTGGAAGTTGAAGACTCAGATGAATCAAAGGGATGTTAGGAAGTATTTCTTCAGTCATAGAGTAGTCAGGCCGTGGAATAGCCTAGAAAGTGACATAGTGGAGGCGGGAACCATACATAGTTTTAAGGCGAGGTATGATAGAGCTCATGGGGCAGGGGGAGAGAGAGGACCTAGTAGCAATCAGCGAAGAGGTGGGGCCAGGAGCTGTTACTCGACCCCTGCAACCACAAATAGGTGAGTACACACAAAGTGACTTATTTCCAGCACCTGGCTTGGGCTTGCCACATATGATTTTTGGTTAATATTTTTTTTTCTCAGTTGTTTGTTGGGCTATCTTATTGAAACTTGGGCAATGTATGATGGAAAGATGCTTCTTAATGTACACCAAAAATGAAAGAAAGAAAAAAAAAAACAGACGATAAATAAGGGAGTTCACTTCTCAGCCAATAGCTGCCTCTTTGCGGTATATTTTCGTATGGTTTTTATGGTTGTATTCTCGTTTTTTTTTTTCTCTCATTTGATAGAATGGAAGATTTATTACAGAAATAGATATGATTTTGATGGGTTTCACGATGAAAAGTACCTTGAAACTGAGCTCAAAGTAGCGGAAATGTTCAATTTTTGCCGTTGTTCAATGAACTTTGTGCAAGCCAAGTTGGTTAATTTTATCAAGTGTACAGTGGTACCTCGGGATATAAATTTAATTCGTTCAGGATACGAATTTAATTCGTATTTGTTCCTATAAGGAATTATGTAAATTAGATTAATCCATTTCAGACCCCCAAACATACACTTACAAAAGCACTTACATAAATACACACTTACATAATTTTTCATGTTTTGAGCTGTTTGTATCCCGAGGTACCACCGTATTCTAACCTAATCTGGCAAACTCAGTAATCCAGCACAGCACAGGTCCCAATGATGCAGGATTTGTGATGGAGGAGCTGTATGCATTTGGAATTATAACTCCTCATTCTTTCCTTTCATATACTTTCAGGATTTTCGACAAACCTTTGTAAGTACGCTGTATTCTCTAGGGTCACGTCCAAACTTCATCTTCACTTCTTCATGTCCATAGTCCACCTTGAATACCCTGGGAAACGTTGGCCATGGATTGTCACGTCCACGGGAAGGTGGCGGCTGTGGCAGGATCTCAAATGTTGTAATTGACTTAGCTCCCTGAAACATGTATTTAATATCATTTTGTTGGGAAATGGCTGATGTATTAATAATAATAATAAACTTAAAAACTGGATTTTATTTTGGTCATTCCTGGACCACTGATGAAGAATTTAAATATTGTCCATTCTCTATTTCTAACCTGTGGGGTAGTTTTAGTGTTGTAGTCACAGTATTTTAACTTATTCCTGAAGTTTCATAAATTTTCAGTGATATTTCAGCACTATAGTGGGCTATATGTGGGAGGTTATTTTTTTTTTAGCCAAAATAAAAGAAAAGTCCCTCATACAATAAAATCAAGGTTATTCCCTTTCACGATGTTTCTGTAAGAATTAGAAAAAAAGATAAAATTGTCTGGTATGCTTTGTTTTTGGAGTGGGAGGGAATAACCCATCATTCTATTTCAAGACTCACAAAACCATATCAACGAGATTGCAAACAAATCATGAAATGGGTGGCGCTTAAAAATCATGTCAAGCGAGTCCTAAAACTTGCAGACCTGAGATTTTTAGGACTTGCTTGCCGTGAGTTTAAGACTCGCCTGTTCCATGATTCTACTGCATACTTAGATTTAAGCTGGGAAGAACAATAATGATAAAATGTGAAACGTGTTAGCTCTTCACAAGACATAACTGACTCAGGCATGCTTCAGCTATTTTGCATAGTTATATAAAATTTAGAGACATCCACCATTGAATATATCACTATTTTGAATTTGTTTACTCAATTTTATTAGTTATCTGAGGATAGATTATAGGTGTGCTGATGTTATAGACAATCTTGTGTGTCACTGACTGCCTTAATCACAGGTTTCATGGGTACTTGTGTGTCTGGGGAAAACACTGTTTTGTAGTCTTTATTAGTCTTGCAATAAATTTAAATAATGCAACTATTAATTACAAAGTACACCTACCATCCGACTTACGACCTGCTCGACATACGTCCACTCGACTTACGACTGTGCATCTGGCAGCTGGGCTGGGCTGGCTGATGCACACCACTGTACAATATTTGACAATACTCACGGCGGCAATGCGTCATGCAGGCAGCATCAATTTGAGTTATCCTGCCCTATCAGCA